GCCGGGTCGGTAGCAAACGGGCAGGCAAGGTACAAGGAGCAGGCGGAAGAGTAGTCAGGAATAGCTGAGGTCAGTACAGGCAGAGTTCATGCAGAGTCAGGATTCAAGCAGGCAGGATCAGGATACAGGGGCCAAGGGAAACTATACACCAAGGCACTGACTGCAGGCCTGGCCACTCCTTAAATACACCTCCTGCAATCAGCCTCAGGTGATGACTTGATTGCAGGAGTGAGCTTCTGGCTGCTGAGAGCACCCGCTGGCCAGCCCTGGTACTGCAGCCCACACGGCAGGTGAGTCCCACCACCAGTGGTGAGTCCATTCCTGACAGAAAGGTGGTAGATCAAGCTCTCACTGTGCTGATGTACAGTTCTCAACTCTACTTTCAGCACAATATAAATACTGTGCTCTGCAGTGTTCTGAATTGTACATCTGAACACTGGAGGCTCAATCAGGGAATGAGTAAAACAGTGGAGGTAGGAGGCATATTCCTGGGTTCTGAACTTTCTGCCTCCCCCTACAATGCAAACTATTCACCCAGCAAACTGAGTGCTCATACAGCCTGCATTAGGCAAAAAGACTATGTGTGTGTGTATGTACAGTATGTATGTGTATGTTTATATGCACGTTTGTATGTCTGTATATTAGTTTTATTCCTGACCCTTAATTATGTACATTAGAACTGTTTTTTTAGAGCTCATTCACAATAGTGGCAAGGGTTGCTGCTCTTCTGAAAAGCGATTTATGTTCAGACCACTTTTCTGAGGCATTTGACAGGCAGTGAAGAGGCAGGTATGTTGCCTCCTCAACGTCTGTTTTAACCCTCTTAATGCAGCACCACTGTGGGCATTTTTTCACAACCCCATTCACCTGAATTAATCAAGTTAGGCGGGCAGTAGCAAAAGTGTCAGGGGACATCGTTCCTGCTGCGGCAGGAGCATGTGTGCTCAATTGCCTGGTTTTACCATCCCCCAACCTCACGTGTGAGCAAACCTTTAGACTGGTGTGCCTCAAGACTTAAAATAATTTATTTATATAGGGTGCCTACATTTTGAAAAACATTGCTCTACACCACTGCCAGGCAAACAGAAGCAGTATCAATAAGTTAGGACAGTCAACTAGCCCCTTCCCAATGTCTCTTGGTAATAAATTAGTTATCTAGCCAGTAGGCAGATGCATGCTGGCATAAGTTATTTTTATTCTTATACAGGATTTATATAGCACCAACAGTTTGTACAGTGCTTTACAACATGAGTTGGGGCCCAAAGTCTTGCATTGTAGTGCTCAAATAAATTTGAAGAACAAACAGTGAAGGAAGTCTGTGGCCATGAGTCCTCTCACTACAGTGACACTGAACTACTCTGATGACAGTGGGGTTTTTTTTTTATTAACACTGAGTGTAAAATCTGGTGAAGCTCTGCATGGAAACCAATCGGCTTCTAGGTTTTATTGCCAAAGCTTAATTGAGCAATCTGAAGTTGATTGGCTACCATGCACAGCTGCATCAGATTCTGAGTGCTCCAGTTTTAGTAAATCCCCCCCAGTATGTAAAAATATTAATTGAAAAAAAAAAAAGATAGAAAAATGTTTTAAATATTTGAATCAATTAAACAAACAAAAAGAAACCCCATACTGTCACCAGTCAGTATCCCTGATCACCACCATACCAGTCATATGCTGATGCTGTAGTGCTCTGGTAACAGTATGTAAAAAAGTTAAAAAAAAATTAATTTCGTAAATTCCCAAAAAATGTGACAACAAATTACAACTTCAAAAAACTTGCCATGTCTCTTACTAAATACCTTGGACTGACTACTTTCCAAAAAGGTGTCATATGAGGGGTATTTGTACTGTCCTGGCATTTTAGGGCCTCAGGAGATGACATAGGCTGTCAGTACATCAGAGCTGATACATTTTCAAATATATACAGTATCCCATGGTTAGTGGACTCTAACTTTCACACAGACTAAATAATACACACTGATTTAAGTTATTTTCACAAAAGAAATGTAAAATGTAAAGATGAGCCCTTACTATTTTCCTATATTCCTTTTATTTGGGTGAGTACTACACTTGTGAGCATTCAAGAAGCAGATAGTAAAAAGAGAAAAAAAACAGCATTATAAAACTGGTAAGGAGACAGACAAGAAAGCAAAAACAAACAGATTTTTTTTTCAAGGGTGTCGTATCAATGAAGCATTAGCATTGGTATTATGACTGGATAAGGGTGCTAGCAATTGTAATGGCAAAAAAGAAGCTTCTTTGGTTTTTGTAAAAACATAGAAGAGTTCTGGAACAAATAAATGTGAGTGATTGTCCTACAATGAACCATTCTAGAAATAGTGACATTTATTAGGAGGAGACTTAGGGATTGATTAAATAAAGGCAAATAGGCTGATCACTGAAAGGAAAGTTTGCAAGCGAATTTGCCCAATAGCTTAATAAATGTGGTAAAGTTTCACTTTGCAAAGTATACCCAATCATGTGCAAGGGAAGAAAAAAACAGCATTTATGATTGGATGATGAAAGTCAGCAGAGCTTCTCCTCTTTTTACTAAACTGTGGGGCAAATACTTTTGCAAAGTGTAATTTCCTTTTCAAAGCAAACTTGCTTTTAGTAAGGCAACCCCACAGTACTGGAGGACCCTGGGAGCCAGCAGCATTAAAAGTAGAGTGCTAGCTGGGAAATTACAGTTGGATGATGATGGTAAGGAGGCAGGGAATATGGTACTAAGAATACATACTTAGTATCTGACCCAGTACAGAACTGAAAACTTTACCTGTCCCAAATATAAACATATGCTAAGAGATATATTCCTCTTAGTAAAACCACTAGTACAGGGGTGGGCAACCTTTTTTTTCAACTGAGCCAAATCTCGCCAAAACCACGATTGAAATTTATTTTGAGAGCCACATTTTTAAAACTGAAAATACATCTCCCATATAGTAATTCATCCCCCATAGTAATTCATCCCCCATAGAGTAATTCATCCCCCATAGAGTAATTCATCCCCCATATAGTAATTCATCCCCCATATAGTAATTCATCCCCCATAGTAATTCATCCCCCATATAGCAATTCATCCCCCATATAGCAATTCATCCCCCATATAGCAATTCATCCCCCATAGCAATTCATCCCCCATATAGTAATTCATCCCCCATAGTAATTCATCCCCCATATAGTAATTCATCCCCCATATAGTAATTCATCCCCCATATAGTAATTCATCCCCCATAGTAATTCATCCCCCATAGTAATTCATCCCCCCATAGTAATTCATCCCCCCATAGTAATTCATCCCCCATAGTAATTCATCCCCCATATAGTAATTCATCCCCCCATAGTAATTCCCCCCCCCCCCATAGTAATTCATCCCCCATATAGTAATTCATCCCCCATATAGTAATTCATCCCCCATAGTAATTCATCCCCCATATAGTAATTCATCCCCCATAGTAATTCATTCCCCATATAGTAATTCATCCCTCATATAGTAATTCATCCCCCATATAGTAATTCATCCCCCATAGTAATTCATCTCCCATATAGTAATTCATCTCCCATATAGTAATTCATCCCCCATATAGTAAGTCCCCCCCCATATAGTAAGTCCCCCCCCATATAGTAAGTCCCCCCATATAGTAAGTCCCCCATATAGTAAGTCCCCCCCCATATAGTAATTCATCCCCCATATAGTAAGTCCCACCCCATATAGTAATTCATCCCCCATATAGTAAGTCCCCCCCCATATAGTAAGTCCCCCATATAGAAATTCATCCCCCATATAGTAAGTCCCCCCTGTGTCAATTCACTTACCTTTGCTCCGCGCGTTCCTCTCGTCGTGCTTCCCGCGCCGTTCTGGTCTTCAGGGCGGACTGTGAGAGGAGAGGAGTTCGTCACGCTGCCCCGCCTACATCCTGGCTGCCCCACCTACATCCTGACAGCTGCAGAGTCCTGACTTTTGGGGCGGCCGCCCGAGAGGAGGGAGGGGAGCGGGCGGCCGTCCGAGAGGAGGGAGGGGAGGGGAGGGGAGGTGAGGGGGCGGCCGCCCGGCACACGCCCGTCCGAGAGGAGGAGAGAGGGAGGGAGGGGAGGGGGGAGGGAGAGGAGGGAGGGGAGCGGGCGCCCGGCACACAGAAGAGCCGCATTTAAGCTTGTAAAGAGCCGCATGTGGCTCGCGAGCCGCGGCTTGCCGACCACTGCACTAGTATAACAACAAGTAGAGTAGCACAGGACGACTCAACAACTATAACAGTGCAGCTGACATTACTATCGTGCAAGAGATTTTTAGCCTTATCTCTGTAGCATCACATATTCTACTAGCCCTAGCATATATAATTGTTGACATACTTGAGACATGATTGCTAATAGTCTACAACTCTTCAATAAGAGATATGTCTGAAGTTTGGCAGGGTAAACATTTATTATGGAATAGTGAAATGTTTAATAAATAGTCAAACACATTGATGAATCTAATTTTGCACGTACCTGATAGGAGACTGAGATGACAAGGTTGACATCTCTGTATCTTCAGTCCAGGCCCCACTGAAGGTGAAACAGATAGTGCTGAGGCACAGGAGGAACACAAGTGCCGGCAGAAGATGCTGGAAGAACTTGAGGTAGGAGATGCAGGCTGGGACAGTCTAGCAAGACCTCAGGTTGGGAGCAGCTGCCGTACAGGATGAGCCAGCTGAAGTTAAAGGAGCACTGCGCATGCACCGCAGGTTCAGGGCATAAAGCTTGTCAGAACTTCCAGCAGACTGAAAACAGGAACACACTGTAATGATCGAAGCTGATATAGTTGACAGCCGGAGCAGGCATTTGGAAATAGCGTGGAGCCAAATCAGCAACAGAAGCAAAGTCACAGGAGTTGCCAAAATCAGCAGCAGACAGGCAATGCAGTACAGAGCAGAGGCGGACTGACCATTTGGAACCTCTGGCACTGCCAGAGGGCCCGGGGTCAGTAGGGGCCCCCATGAGATGCCCCTGGTACCTTTTTCATAGGCTTTTTTGAGTTTGGGCAAGGACACAGGGGGCCCATGATCCCCTATTGCCCGGGGGCCCCATGAGTTGTCAGTCCGCCCCTGGTACAGAGGCAGAGGCGTAGTCAAGGGCTGAGTCAAGGTCAGGAACGGGTAGGCAGAAGAGCAATCAGCATCCGAGATCAGGTCAATATCAAGCTGAGTCAGCAACAGAGGTCAGACACAGGATACGAGCTGGATACAGGAATAGCTGAAGATCAGTCAGCACAGGACATGGGCATGAGCATCATTTAAATCAGTGGTTCTCAACCTTTCTAATGCCGCGACCCCTTAATACAGTTCCTCATGTTGTGGTGACCCCCAACCATAAAATTATTTTCGTTGCTACTTCATAACTGTAATTTTGCAGTGGGGAGGACTAGCGCCCCATCACTGATGTCAGTGGGATGAATAGTGTCCCATCGTTGGTATCAGTGGGATGAATAGTGTCCCATCGTTGGTATCAGTGGGATGAATAGTGCCCCATCGTTGGTGTCAGTGGGAGGAATAGTGCCCCATCATTGGTGTCAGTGGGAGGAATAGTGCCCCATCATTGGTGTCAGTGGGAGGAATAGTGCCCCATCATTGGTGTCAGTGGGAGGAATAGTGCCCCATCATTGGTGTCAGTGGGAGGAATAGTGCCCCATCATTGGTGTCAGTGGGAGGAATAGTGCCCCATCACTGATGTCAGTGGGAGGAATAGTGCCCCATCACTGATGTCAGTGGGATGAATAGTGTCCCATCGTTGGTATCAGTGGGATGAATAGTGCCCCATCGTTGGTGTCAGTGGGAGGAATAGTGCCCCATCGTTGGTGTCAGTGGGAGGAATAGTGCCCCATCGTTGGTGTCAGTGGGAGGAATAGTGTCCCATCGTTGGTGTCAGTGGGAGGAATAGTGCCCCATCGTTGGTATCAGTGGGAGGAATAGTGTCCCATCATTGGTATCAGTGGGAGGAATAGTGCCCCATCATTGGTATCGGTGGGAGGAATAGTGCCCCATCATTGGTGTCAGTGGGAGGAATAGTGCCCCATCATTGGTGTCAGTGGGAGGAATAGTGCCCCATCATTGGTATCAGTGGGAGGAATAGTGCCCCATCATTGGTGTCAGTGGGAGGAATAGTGCCCCATCATTGGTGTCAGTGGGAGGAATAGTGCCCCATCATTGGTGTCAGTGGGAGGAATAGTGCCCCATCATTGGTGTCAGTGGGAGGAATAGTGCCCCATCATTGGTGTCAGTGGGAGGAATAGTGCCCCATTGTGGGTGTCAGTGGGAGGAATAGTGCCCCATTGTGGGTGTCATTGGGAGGAATATGTGTGAACCAAATATCCCTATTTGTTGCATAGTTTGCTTGAAAGGGTATATACCAGTGTGCAGAGGGTCCTTCAGAATTTCTAGAGTTAATGTGGTTACACCCCTTTAGCACCTGATGGATAAATGCATGCACTAGCTGTATGGATTTGAGCACAGGGATCTCTTGTTTGTTGTATTGTTGGGTCAGTAGCCAGACCTGAACCTTGTAGCTCTCCCCATTGTGTCTTTTCCCCTATGTTAGCATTGTGTCCACAGTAGCACTTGTGTAGGCAGGGCAGAGTAGGACTGGCCATAGAGGGATTACTTTGACGCAGTTGGCCAGCTTAAACATGTATTGCAATATGTGTGAACCAAATATCCCTATTTGTTGCATAGTTTGCTTGAAAGGGTATATACCAGTGTGCAGAGGGTCCTTCAGAATTTTTATTGGGAGGAATAGTGCCCCATCATTGGTGTCAGTGGGAGGAATAGTGCCCCATCATTGGTGTCAGTGGGAGGAATAGTGCCCCATTGTGGGTGTCAGTGGGAGGAATAGTGCCCCATCGTGGGTGTCAGTGGGAGGAATAGTGCCCCATTGTGGGTGTCAGTGGGAGGAATAGTGCTCCATTGTGGGTGTCAGTGGGAGGAATAGTGCCCCATTGTGGGTGTCATTGGGAGGAATAGTGCCCCATCATTGGTGTCAGTGGGAGGAATAGTGCCCCATCATTGGTGTCAGTGGGAGGAAAAGTGCCCCATTGTGGGTGTCATTGGGAGGAATAGTGCCTCATCATTGGTGTCAGTGGGAGGAATAGTGCCCCATCATTGGTGTCAGTGGGAGGAATAGTACCCCATCATTGGTGTCAGTGGGAGGAATAGTGCCCCATTGTGGGTGTCAGTGGGAGGAATAGTGCCCCATTGTGGGTGTCATTGGGAGGAATAGTGCCTCATCATTGGTGTCAGTGGGAGGAATAGTGCCCCATCATTGGTGTCAGTGGGAGGAATAGTGCCCCATCATTGGTATCAGTGGGAGGAATAGTGCCCCATCATTGGTGTCAGTGGGAGGAATAGTGCCCCATCATTGGTGTCAGTGGGAGGAATAGTGCCCCATCATTGGTGTCAGTGGGAGGAATAGTGCCCCATCATTGGTGTCAGTGGGAGGAATAGTACCCCATTGTGGGTGTCAGTGGGAGGAATAGTGCCCCATTGTGGGTGTCAGTGGGAGGAATAGTGCCCCATTGTGGGTGTCAGTGGGAGGAATAGTGCCCCATTGTGGGTGTCAGTGGGAGGAATAGTGCCCCATTGTGGGTGTCAGTGGGAGGAATAGTGCCCCATTGTGGGTGTCAGTGGGAGGAATAGTGCCCCATTGTGGGTGTCAGTGGGAGGAATAGTGCCCCATTGTGGGTGTCAGTGGGAGGAATAGTGCCCCATTGTGGGTGTCAGTGGGAGGAATAGTGCCCCATCATTGGTGTCAGTGGGAGGAATAGTGCCCCATTGTGGGTGTCAGTGGGAGGAATAGTGCCCCATTGTGGGTGTCAGTGGGAGGAATAGTGCCCCATTGTGGGTGTCAGTGGGAGGAATAGTGCCCCATTGTGGGTGTCAGTGGGAGGAATAGTGCCCCATTGTGGGTGTCATTGGGAGGAATAGTGCCCCATCATTGGTGTCAGTGGGAGGAATAGTGCCCCATCATTGGTGTCAGTGGGAGGAATAGTGCCCCATCGTGGGTGTCATTGGGAGGAATAGTGCCTCATCATTGGTGTCAGTGGGAGGAATAGTGCCCCATTGTGGGTGTCATTGGGAGGAATAGTGCCTCATCATTGGTGTCAGTGGGAGGAATAGTGCCCCATTGTGGGTGTCATTGGGAGGAATAGTGCCCCATCATTGGTGTCAGTGGGAGGAATAGTGCCCCATCATTGGTGTCAGTGGGAGGAATAGTGCCCCATTGTGGGTGTCAGTGGGAGGAATAGTGCCCCATTGTGGGTGTCAGTGGGAGGAATAGTGCCCCATTGTGGGTGTCAGTGGGAGGATTAGTGCCCCATTGTGGGTGTCATTGGGAGGAATAGTGCCTCATCATTGGTGTCAGTGGGAGGAATAGTGCCCCATTGTGGGTGTCATTGGGAGGAATAGTGCCTCATCATTGGTGTCAGTGGGAGGAATAGTGCCCCATCATTGGTATCAGTGGGAGGAATAGTGCCCCATCATTGGTGTCAGTGGGAGGAATAGTGCCCCATCATTGGTGTCAGTGGGAGGAATAGTGCCCCATCATTGGTGTCAGTGGGAGGAATAGTGCCCCATCATTGGTGTCAGTGGGAGGAATAGTGCCCCATCATTGGTGTCAGTGGGAGGAATAGTGCCCCATTGTGGGTGTCAGTGGGAGGAATAGTGCCCCATCATTGGTGTCAGTGGGAGGAATAGTGCCCCATTGTGGGTGTCATTGGGAGGAATAGTGCCTCATCATTGGTGTCAGTGGGAGGAATAGTGCCCCATTGTGGGTGTCATTGGGAGGAATAGTGCCTCATCATTGGTGTCAGTGGGAGGAATAGTGCCCCATCATTGGTGTCAGTGGGAGGAATAGTGCCCCATCGTTGGTGTCAGTGGGGGGAGGAATAGTGCCCCATCGTTGGTATTAGTGACACTAATGATGGGGCACTATTCCTCCAACTGACACCAATGACACTTACCTTGCTGACCCCTGCTCCAGCCTGGGCTCGCTCTCTCCCTCTCCCATTTACAGCCTGCATACCTGGCTGCAGCAGCAAAATTTGCACTTACCTGTCAGCTGTCTTCCTTCTCTGGCCTCTCTCTTCACTCGTTCCTGCAGCTCCCTCGATCTTCTTTGATCTCCGCGTGCTGCCGCTCGGCTCCTCCTCTCCAAGCTCCACCTCCTCGCCGGTGATTGGCCGCCTGTGTGCCTCTCCTGAGCTATAGTTCCGGTGGCCAATCAGCGGCGAGGAGGCGGAGCTGTTGAGTGATCCCGGAGGTGTGGCCAGGTTACGGGGCAGCATATCATCCCGTCCACAGATCGCCTGAGACAGGAGCGGTGTCTCGGTTCCTAAGACCATCGGAAATATGTGTTTTCCGATGGTCTTAGGCGACCCCTGTGAAATGGTTGTTCGACCCCCGAAGGGGTCGCGACCCCCAGGTTGAGAACCGCTGCTTTAAATAGTACTTTTGGCACCAATGGAAATTATGCATGTGCGTGAGCATGTATGCATTTTTGTGTGTGCACAAGCCTGGTCGCCATTCTGTGGCAAACACCATGAGCATGCCTGCACACCAAACGACTCAAAGGAAATCCCTGACAAATACGTACAAACAAACCTGGTCTAAAATCTAGTATATAGGATGATAATTATCATACCAGTATGCAGAGCCATCCTATCATGTCTTTAAACCCTTATTGACTGAGGGTAAAACAAATGTTAATGCCTGAACACAATTTTGCAACTTTGACATACGTTAGTAAAACTGTACATATCATCTCAACTACTTTGTGTATCAAGGTGGTTTATACCTTTTTTTAAGACAAATTGGTTTATCCTTTGGTGGTAAATGGTAACGGATATCTCCTGATTTTTTTTTATTATTATCAAAGAAAAACTGGCCCAAAATAGTAAAACATTTTTTTTTTCAATTTAGCTATGTAATATTTGCTGCTACCATAACCTTCTGCTGCCCCAAATGATTGCAGCAAAACCACTTATGTGTATGGTAATAACGATAGTAGATATTTTGCTTTATTTTATCCTACCTAAAACACACTGAAACTGACACTAACATACACTGATACTAATTTAACCACTTCCTGTCCGGACACTTTTACCCCCTTCCTGTCCAGGCCAATTTTCAGCTTTCAGCGCTCTCACATTGTGAATGACAATTACTCAGGCATACAACACTGTATCTAAATGAAATTATTATCATTTTTTTCAAACAAATAGAGCTTTAATTTGGTGGTATTTAATCATCACTGGGGTTTTTATTTTTTGCTAGAAAAATGAAAAAAGACTGAAAATTTTGAAAAAAAACATGTTTTTCTTAGTATTTGATATTACATTTTGCAAATAAATATACTTTCTTCATAAATTTAGGCCAAAATCCATTGTGCTACATTTTGTTGGTAGACATAACCCAAATCAGTGTGTATTATTTAGTCTTTGTGAAAGTTATAGAGTCCACAGACCACGGTATATATATTTGATATATTTGAAAATGTATCAATCCTGATGCACGGACTACCTATATAATTTCTTGGGGCCCTAAAATGCCAGGACAGTACAAATACCCCCCAAACGACCCCTTTTTGGAAAGTAGACAGTCTGAGGTATTTAATGAGAGGCATGGGGAGTTTTTTGAAGTTGTGTCATTTTTTGCCAATTTTTTAAGGAAATGATGAAAGTAAAAAAAATTTTTTTTTTTTTTCCCACAAAGTTGTCATTTAACAAGTTCTTTCTCTCACACGGCATAGGCATACTTGCAATTACACCCCAAAACACATTCTGCTACTCATCCTGAGTATGGCGATACCACATGTGTAAAACTTTTTCACAGCCTAACCACATAGAAGGGCCCCACATCCAATAAGCACCCTTAGGCGTTCTAGGGGCAAAAATTACACATCTAATTTCTTGACTGTCTATCACAGTTTTGGAGGTCCTGGAGCACCAGGACAATTGAATTACCCACAAAATGACCCCATTTTCGAAAGAAAACACATCAAGGTATGTTTTAAGAGGCATGGGGAGTCCTCTGAAGACTTCATTTTTTGCCAAATGTTTTTGGAAAATGTGAAAAGAAAATGAAAATGTATTTTTTTTTACGCAAAGTTGTCAATCTATGAGATATTTCTATTACACAGCATAGGCATACTTAAAATGATACCTCAAAACGCATTCTTTAACTCCTGCTGAATATGGCGATACCAAATGTGTGAGACTTTTTCACAGTCTGGCCACATAGAGGGGTTCCACATCCAATAAGCACCTGTTAGCGTTCTAAGGGCAAAAATTACACATCTAATTTCTTGACTACCTATTGCCGTTTTGGAGGTCCTGGAGCATCAGGGCAAGGGAATTATCCACAAAATGACCCCATTTTGGAAAGCAAACACCCCAAGGTATGTTTTAAGAGGCATGCAGAGTCTTCTGAAGACTTCATTTTTTGCCACAAGTTTTTGGAAAATGCGAAAAGAAAATGAAAATGTATTTTTTTCTACACAAAGTTGTCAATCTATGAGATATTTCTAATACACACTGCATAGGCATACTTAAAATTACACCCCAAAACACATTCTCTAACTCTTCCTGAATATGGTGATACCAAATGTGTGAGACTTTTTCACAGTCTGGCCACATAGAGGGGTTCCACATCCAATAAGCACCTGTTAGCGTTCTAAGGGCAAAGATCGCACATCTAATTTCTTAACTACCTATTGCTGTTTTGGAGGTCCTGGAGCATCAGGACAATGGAATTATCCACAAAAAGACCCCATTTTGGAAAGCAAACACCCCAAAGTATGTTTTAAGCTCTCCGTCACTCTCATCTGTCATACTCAGAATTTGAAATGCCTCCTCGCTTGTATATGATCTTTTGGCCATATTTTTGACACTGATCAGGACCCACTGATATGGCAGTGATCAGGATGGTGTTGCAGTGAGGGACAGATATCTGGCTGCAGTTGGGTCACACTAGTCACTGTTGGGAAAAAATCAGAGATACAGTGAGGTGGCTGGCAAAGTTTTGTGAGTGTGTGTAAACTCTGTGCAAAGGCTGAAAATTACTCACAGTTAGCTGTACTGGATCTCTCTCCTCACAGACGATGGCAGTGAACAGGATCCACTGGTGTGGCAGAGATCAGGGACACTTTATGGACAGGCACACTGTAAGGTGATCAGGGACACTGATTGGGCCACTGTATGGTGATCAGGGACACTGCTGGGCCACTGCGGTGATCAGGGACACTGCTGGGCCACTTGTGTGGCGATCAGGGACACTGTGGCGATCAGGGACACTGCTGGACCACTTGTGTGGCGACCATGGACACTGCTGGGCCACTGCGATGATCAGGACACTGCTGGGCCACTTGTGTGGCGATCAGAAACACTGCTGGGCAACTGCGGTGATCAGGGACACTGCGGTGATCAGGGGCACTGCTGGACCACTTGTCCGGCGATCAGGGACACTGCTGGCCACTTGTGTGGTGATCAGGGACACTGCTGGGCCACTTGTGTGGTGATCTGGGCCACTGCGGCAATCAGGGACACTGCGGTGATCAGGGACACTGCTGGACCACTTGTGCAGCAATCGTGGACACTGCGGTGATCAGGGACACTGCTGGGACACTGCGGCGATCAGGGACACTGCTGGACCACTTCTGCGGCGATCAGGGACACTGCTGGGCCACTGCGATGATCAGGACACTGCTGGGCCACTTGTATGGCAATCAGAAACACTGCTGGACTACTGCGGTGATCAGGGACACTTCGGTGATCAGGGGCACTGCTGGACCACTTATCCGGCGATCAGGGACACTGCTGGGCCACTTGTGTGGTGATCAGGAACACTGCTGGGCCAATGCGGTGATCAGGGACACTGCTGGGCCACTTGTGTGGTGATCAGGAACACTGCTGGGCCAATGCGGTGATCAGGGACACTGCTGGGCCACTTGTGTGGTGGTCAGGGACACTGCTGGGCCACTGCGGCAATCAGGGCCACTGCGGCGATCAGGGACACTGCTGGACCACTTGTGCGGCAATCAGGGACACTGCGGTGATCAGGGACAATGCTGGGCCACTGCGGTGATCAGGGACACTGCTGGACCACTTGTGCGGCAATCGGGGACAATGCTGGGTTACTTGTGTGGTGATCAGGGACACTGCTGGGCCACTTGTGTGGCGATCAGGGACACTGCTGGGCCACTGCGGCAATCAGGGACACTGCGGCAATCAGGGACACTGCTGGACCACTTGTGCGGCAATCAGGGACACTGTGGCGATCAGGAACACTGCTGGACCACTTGTGCGGCAATCAGGGACACTGCGGTGATCAGGGACACTGCTGGGCCACTGCGGCGATCAGGGACACTGCTGGACCACTTGTGCGGCAATCAGGGACACTGTGGTGATCAGGGACACTGCTGGGCCACTGCAGCAATCAGGGACACTTCTGGGCCACTTGTGTGGCAATCGGGGACACTGCTTGGCCACTGCGGCGATACTGCTGGGCCACTTGTGTGACGATCAGGGACACTGCTTGGCCACTGCGGCGATCAGGGACACTGTGACGATCAGGGACACTGCTTGGCCACTGCGGCGATCAGGGACACTGTGACGATCAGGGACACTGTGGCGATCAGGAACACTGCTGGGCCACTATGTGGTGATCAGGGACACTGACAATCAGGGACACTGCTGGGCCACTTGTTGGGCGATCAGGGCCACTTGTGGGCGATCAGGGCCACTTGTGGGCGATCAGGACCACTTGTGGGCGATCAGGGCCACTTGGGGGCGATCAGGGCCACTTGGGGCAATCAGGGCCACTTGGGGCAATCAGGGCCACTTGGGGAATCAGGGCCACTTGGGGGCAATCAGGGCCACTTGTGGGGGCGATCAGGGCCACTTGTGGGCGATCAGGGCCACTTGTGGGGGCGATCAGGGCCACTTGGGGGCGATCAGGGCCACTTTTCAGGGCCAGTTGGGGCGATCAGGGCCACTTTAGGGGCGATCTTTAGGGGCGATCCACTTTAGGGGCGATCAGGTGTCACTGAGGTGGAGGGCAGTTAACTACTGCCTCTTCTTCGCTGTTTCTCCTCTCACAGACAACTCCGTGAGAGGAGAAGGAGGCGGAAGCCGCACCATGCGGCTTTTGTTTACACTTAAGCTGTGTCCTTATTGGACACAGCTGATCACATGGTATGGGACCGATTTCATTGGTCCCATACCATGTCACGTAATCCACCGTGTCCGTCGGACTCGGCGATCGTCGGGCTCGCGGGTGCGCGCTCTAGGAGCCGCGCACGAGCCTCAAATACAAGGTGCCGTTTAGAGACGGCAACCCGCTGCTGTAGGTGTCCCGTCCTGCCGTTTATAAACAGCGGCCGGACGGGAAGTGGTTAAAGAATACTTAAAGTGTTACTAAACCCACAACAGTAAAACCAGTCTGTATATGCAGTAAAGCATGCTTGTTATACTCACTGTGGAACCAGAGGGGTTAACCTTCTGCATTGTGTAAAAAGGATGTTTGATCCTGACTTCTCTGTTCCTTCCCTTCTTCCAGTGTCCCCCTCTTATCTCCTGATAAGACATATCGTGTGGAGACACTGCACATGCTTAGTTTGGTGTGTATTGCTAGAGAGGTTTTTTTAAGGGGATAGAGCGCATGTGATCAGCACAGGGCCAATCAGCAGTGTCCAGAGGTCAGAGGTTCTACATCCTTCTACAGAAAACTCCTCCTACAAGCTTTAACCATTACTCTTCTGAACACTGATAGAAGTCATAAGACTGCTCAACTGCTGATGAGAAAAGGTATTTAGCAGTTTATATTTACTAAAATAATTACATTTCCATGTTCTGTGTACTGTTGGAGACCAGATATAGTGAATGCAGGGTCCTGGGTTTAGTAACACTTAAAAAAAATAAAAAATCCTACCCTAAATATACTGACCCTGACCTTCGCCCCTTGCTTTTACCCTAACACTAACCCTGGCACTGACCTAGATCAAACCTTGATGTAGCTATTTTTTATTTCTTTATGTTTTAATTATTTTTTTACATACTTTTGATTATTTACATCTTGCTCACCTGCAAGGAGAGAAAGATACAATGTATATTTCTCTCCATTCAGAAGAGAAAGAAAACTCAAGGGCAGGCTGCACAGTGACTGATCACTGTGATAGCCAGTAACAGGATATCACAGAGACTAGGTGACTGCGAAATGGGAGTCCTGGGTTCCGATGATTAGTGTGACTGGAGAGAGAGCCTGTGTGCTAGGAGCACTCCCAGCACAAAGACAGGTACACAGATATGAAGCCCCCAGGATTAAGACCCAATTCAGTGAGGCCCCATATCTGCGTAATGTCGGTTGAAAGGGCTAAAAGTGTGTGATGAGCCAAATGATCCAACAAACACAAACAATCAGCAAAGTACTATCTTGCCATCATAGTTTGTTAAAAAAGATAGTGTCTACAGCACTGAACAGGCACTAAGGCTTTGGAAACTGTTCTTTATCAGTATGTCCTTCTAGTGGGCCCCCCCCCCATATTAATAATACAGTTGACAGGTCCCACACAGGAAACCTGAAAACATTGAAAGTAGCACTATTCACTTTATGAATATATTAAAGTGGTTCTAAAGGTTCAAGTTTTTTTACCTTCATGTTTTTCATGCGAGAAGGTAAATACCCTTCTGTGTGCAGCAGCACCCCCCCCCCCAATCCTTACCTTAGCCCCCTCCGATCCAATGCTGTTCACAATAGCCTCTGCTGTCTGGGGACTCTTCCTCCTCATTGGCTGAGACAGCAGCAGGAGACCCTTGCTGCTGCTGTCAATCACAACCAGTGAGCCAATGAGGATGGGGAGGGGGCAGGGCCGCACCTCTCTGTGTCTTATGGAGGATGAGCATGCAGAGGTGCCCCCAGGGCAAGCGGCTTACCCTGGGGGCACTGCTTGAGGGGGAGGAGCCAAGGGCTCTGGTGGGAACCCGAAAAGAAGAGGATCAGGGCTGCTCTGTGCAAAATCACTGCACAAAGCAGGTAAGTGTGGACATGTTTGTTATATAAAAACAAAAACAACAAAGCTTTAGTGTCACTTTAAGCAATAAAGAAAATATTATTATGGCCCTTTCTTTTTACTAAACCCTTATAGGTAGGGAAATATGTGAATGTTATAAATTAATTGAACAGGCTAATAGCTGTCAGGGAATTCAGCAATACAGAAAAAGCAATCATTCTGACCTGTTAAGGGAAGTAGATTCTGTCAACATTTACCTTTTTCATAATTCAAACAAATAAAAGCTCACAGGAGATAGGTTTTGGCGTGTGCAAACAGATCTCTTAAGCAGGGGGAGATTGAGAGGATGTTGTTTTTAAACTTTTTAGAGTGAACATATTGGAGGCAAACAAATTACCAGATCTGCTGAGCACAGGTACAGGTCAAATGGAACTGGTAGAGATAATAGCTGCTTTTTTGTGGAGGTCACCACTCAACAGAGTAAAGCATTATACTTCAATTATAGTTCAATTATTTTAAGCTGCAATACTGGTGTCTACAAAAAGATGCCTTTTTTATTTTGACTAACCACCATTCTGACTTTGGTATTTCATTTTATTTCACTGACATATATCAGGTTTTTTTTTTTTCAAAGTGAAATGGCAAAAGGCTTTTAAAGCAGAATTAGGAAATGAAAAATATCAAACATGTATTTAGCACTCTTCCAAACTACATTTTATCTGACAGGCTTGAATATTGTCTATTTGGATACAATGTAATATTTGTTTTCTATCATCTTTGTAGCTTCCATATCTTGATATCCACCTTACCCCTTATTACACATCACTTTATAAGGTCAATTACACACTGCTTGATTGTAAACTTACTTCTCTGTTGCAAACATGGAACCGATATCAACTTTTTAAGTTTGGCAGACCTAATGCCATTAAAATGACATTTCTTCCAAAGTTACGATATTACTTTTAGATACTGCCCGTAGCAGTCCCTAGTTTTGGTTTGTGGTCATTCAAAACAAGGCAATGAAATTTATATGGAGTTTGGTGCACCCAAGGAATAAATTGAATGTTGACCTAGGCATACCTGTACTAGTAGTATTAGAAGGCAGCACATATTGCCCTGTTCTACATGCAAGCATGGAAATCCTTATCTGGGTCCTGTTTGACCCAATAGATTGTGATCCCATAGTTACTTCATTCATTGCCTAGTTACCACATCAGTTGAGTCACTCACTTAAGGTACGGGATTCAATAAAGTTGATGGGAGGACTTGCCTCTCCTCACCTACCCTTTTTATGCCTGGTGAGTCGCCCCATTTCTGTTGCAGAAAAATCACCAGTTCAACCCAAAGGGGTTAATTTACTAAAACTGGAGAGTGGAAAATCTGGTGCAGCTCTGCATAGAAATCAATTTGCTTCCAGGTAATTTTTTCAAAGCTTAAAACAGAGTTCCAGCCATTTTAGTGTTTATTAAAAGTCAGCAGCTACAAAAACTGTAGCTGATGACTTTTAATAAACTCACACTTACCTGTCTCAGGGTCCAGAGATGTTCTCATCTGTGCTGTCCCTTCTCCCCTTCTCTTCTCCATGGTGCCGGCATCTCAACTGTGGGGACCACAGCCTGGTGCCCACTGCAAATGTGTGAGTCGCTCTGTACCTCCTAATTGGTCCAGCAGTCTCCTGGGACCTGTGAAAGCTCCCAGGAAACTGAAGGAGGGAGGAAGGGGCCGAACTTCTGTCTCGCTTCACCGCAGCGAACTGAGCCAGAAGTGGGAGCAGGTACCTGTCAAAAACAGGTATCCGCTCCCCCCCAAAAGGTGCCAAATATGGCAGTGGAGGGGGGAGGAGGCACATAAGCGGAGCTTCCACTTTTGAGTGGAACTCCGCTTTAATTGAACAAGCTGAAGTTAGAAGCAGATTTGCTACCATGTACAGCTGCACCAGATTTTGCACTCTCATGTTTTAGTAAATCAACCCCAAAGGGTTTCACAGCTCTTTACTCTTGTCTAACATTTGACAGTATTCACTCCTTTGATTATTTCCGTGAGAAGCATGCGACCTCTAATCAAGAACTCCTTCAATACATAAAACTGCAGCACCTGTACTGAAACTACACTAGTTCTCACTGACTTTGAAAGTATTGCTTTGCTCACCATTCCCCAGGACTTATTTCTCTTAAACAGTCATCAATTCGCTCAAAACTAACTACATGTTAGGCTGGGAAGGGGGACTAAGCAAAACGTTATCAGAAAATTGGAAGAAAATTTGGACCTACGCAACTAAGAGCTCATTTGAATTATTAGCATCCAAAGTCCTATTTCGATGGTTAACTTCATCTTGCATTGCTATTGTGTGCATGTACCTACAGTAACCATTCTCTTTGCATTTAGGGCTGCAGACAAGAGAGTATGATGCTACTTGTGGTGGTCATGCCACAAGGCACAAAGACTATATATCCAGGTCTATTCAATCATAAATACAGTTTTAAATTGTAACATACACAGAAGCCCTATTAACCACTTGGCCTCCAGAAGGTTTTACCCCCTCCATTACAGGGCATTTCTTGCTATTCAGTACTGCGCTACTTTAAATGACAAATGCTCAGTCATGCCGCACTGTTCCCAAATGAAATGTATATTTTTTCACACAAATAGAGCTTTCTTATGGTGGTATTTGATCACCACTATTTTTTACTTTTCATTAAACAAATACCAACATTTAAAAAAAAAAAACCCTATATTTTCTACTTTCTGTTATAAAACATATTGAATAAAAAAAATAAAATGTCTTCATAAATGTAGGCCAAAATGTATTCTGCTACAAAAAAAAAATCCTAATATGTGTGTATTAGTTGGTTTATGTGAAAGTTATAGCGTCTACAAATTATGGTATATATACTAGAATTTATGCAGCTATGATGTTATACTGGTAATGGCGGTGATCAGGGACTTATAGTGGGACTGTAATACTGTGGCGGGGAATCTGGCACTAACAGACCCTAGCTGGGAGGTACACTAACTGACACTGTCATCAACAGTGACACTAACACAGTGATCAGATAATATACTATACACTGGCACTGTACTAATGACACTGGCTGGGAAGGGACATCTAGGGACAATCAAAGGGTTAATCGGGTGCCTAACAAGGGCAATGTGTGTAAAATGTGCTGCTTTTACTAACATATCAGGTTGTTTTTCTCCCTGCAGAGCCAGCTGCACGCACCCCTCTCCAGCCCGAGAGTGATAGAGGGACAGAATGGAGAGAAGGTAACTGATAGTCACTGTTCTCTGCTCTGAGAACCCCACGGACTGAGTTATCAGTGGTCATGTGATCACTCAGTACTACAGCCAGCAGGGAACAGCTGCAGCATCACATCTATGCTGCAGCATGGGGGTAAGCATGTGTGTTTGTTTTTTTATTCCCATACTTCTCCTTTTAATTTGTATACGCTACTTGTTTTTGTCAGTTAATGACCATTAATATCTACGCATTATTTAGCATCATAATTGCCTGTCTGACTGGTGCCTTGGTAATATTCCTCATTCTTCAACCACATAAAGTGGACCTTTCCCTGCTTTCATTATAAACAAATCACAGCAGTATACAGCTCTGCACACAGCTATAAAATAATCTTACATGTATGAATTAAACA